ACTCTTAATTACATCTTTAATTGCACAAGAGATCACTTTCATCCAATTTTTTTTTTTATTCAAAACCCTGTTTGAGCCACGTTGTTTCAAAAAATATATTTTTAAACAGTGATTTGACATCATTTCAATCACACATTCTTCAATAAAATTATATTATGCACAAATTTAAAACATTTTCTCATTTTTTACTACACATTCTCCATCAATCTACTGTTTCAAAATATATTATTTTAAAATAATGTGGCTCAAACACGCACTAAAAGAGTGTTTAACACCTATTTTTATAGAAAAAAATAAATTTTAGAATAGTAGATTGATGAAGAATGTGTGGATAAAAATAAATAAAAGTTTTTGATTTACATGTAATATTATTTTAATGCAGAATGTCTAATTAAAAAGAAGAGAAAGAAAAATATATTTTGATAAAAATGATAATCACACGGGGCCTAAATGAATGATAATTTTTGTCTTGAAATCTTTTTCCTTTTTTCTTCCCCATTTGAACCCATTTTTTTCCGGTGTAAACCTTTGAAATATAATCATTTGATTCTTCAACGGGTTTTCCCTTGTACACTCTATCGTGCACTTCTTTGTTTTGCTTACCGTCGTTTGATTGATGAAGTCGTAGTAAAGTTTAATCTATTTTGTCCCATTTCTTTTTTGCAGAAACGATCAAATTACCACCCAGCGAATTTTTCATTTTCGTTGAAGGTTAAAAAATTCTGCAATGTTGAACACTAATGGAAGTATGTATGTGTATATGTATGTAACAACTTTGTTTTTTTGTTTGGAAGATTCAAATTTTTAACAAGTTACATTTGTTGGGAATGCTGAAGAATCACGAGAAAGAAAAATGAATAAAGTTGCAGAGACTGGTCGATCCCATGCACAAGAAATTCTTAACATAATTAATTCAATCAAATCTCTCATAGCCATTCTCTTATCTCTAATTGTTCGTAGAAACCCCTGAAGCGTACAAGATCATAATATAAGTAATAAGATTCATGAATAAAGAGTATCGTTCCCACGAAAAATAAGGTCAAATATCTAATTCAATAATTACTGTAAAATTCGAAGTGTGATAACAGAAAAAAATTTGTTATTTGTATGTTTTCTATATTAAATCTAAACTAACAAAACAAATAAAGTATTTATCTAATATGTGAATATTGGAATCGCGAATCCCCTTATTGCCATTTAATTCAACTCTTAATTCATAATTTAATAAATTCATGTATTTAAAACAATCGATAATCCACTTTTATTCAATATTCTTTTCCAATATATATTAAACATATGTTTTACTCGATTCGATCATATTCTTATTCACATGATTTATTACACATGATTGTATATGTTATAGATATTTTTCGTAATACCTATTATCCATGTGTTGATTTTGCTGCGTTCTAGACTTATTGTGAGTAGTCCTACACTACAACAAGTAGCTTACAATCTAATTGATAATCAAACAATCAAATACGGATCACTTGTCGATCTGTGATCAAACAAAACTATACCTGAAGAATGGGATACAGATTGACAAGCACAAAAGCCATATCTTATGTCAACTTCCCTTAAGACTCATATTGGTTTATCAGTTCAATTGTCATATATTCATCCCTTGAACTGTTCAATTGGAATGGAAAACCAATCAAGAAATACTCAACCAATTATCTTGAATTAAAATAAACAAATAATTTGATTCGTCATTCATCCAAGTATTTTAGCATAGCATATTATTGTAAGAAATACAAGGAAAATAAAAGAAAGTCATCGCCCAAATTATTAAACTATAAAAAAATCTGGAAATCTTCAATTAACCCCATCAAATCCGAATCTAAACGATGAATTATACATTCTTCGATGTATATTCTCTCTGTTTTTCTCAAAAGTCGGCTTACAATCTAATTCCCTTAGGTCTTGATGTGTTCTCCAATTTATATGATGTTAAGAAGGTCACTTACCAAAATAAATAAGGAAACCTAGATTTTTTGCCGGCTTGGGAGCCTTGGGTGCCACAGTCGCCTTATTTTTGGTTGGGGACGCATGTCTATCCTGCTAGCGAGGGTGCTCGCCTTACGACAACCAAACAGCCTTTAGTATTTATATCATAACTTTATCTTCTAATACTTAATTGAGGTGATTCAAAGTGCATTGAAAAACTCACTTAGAGGGTCCTAGAGATATTACTTTTCCAATTCAAATGTTTGCTATGCCAAAATCAGGTCTCAATACGAGGTTGAAAATTCATAGCATAAATTTTTTCGGTTGAAAGTTGATGTATGATAATATTTTGACTATAATTCCTTCCTTTGACTTCTTTCCTCATCGAACTAACCCTAATCACTCTCAAATCTTCATCGAGGACCAAAATAACTTTTGAGTATTTACATTTTAATCCTCAAACTTTGGATTTGCTTCATTTTAGCTCTTTCCCGTTCTTTCTTCTAATTCTTCATCGAACCATGAATTTTTCCTAATAAAAGTAATAAATAACAAATTAAGTACCAATCCATCCAAAGAATAATAAAATATCATTATTTAGAATCCCAAAAAAGTGTAGAAACTACACTTATCACCAATCATTATAAACTTGCTTGAATTCACATATCAAATGGTTATTTTTGAAAGATTTACACAAAAGAATGAAGGGTTCAAATGGGGAAGAAAGACGCAAAAAATTTAGAACGAAAATACCATTTATTTAAATGAAAAATTGGATGAAAATGTTCTTTTGTGCAATTAAATTTATAATTTAAGGTTGTCTTGTTAAAAAAACGGAAGACATGAATATTTTGCACAATAATAATTGTGAAAATTACATCCACACAAGTATTTAACATTTTTAATTCAAAAATCAAGCTTATGGTTTATTTATACAAAAATCAGGTTTCCATATTTTAATAATAATGATAATATAAATTAATTTATATACTCACACCCAACCTTATCCACCACATTCAAACCCTAAATCAGTCTCTTTTTTTCCTCCCATTTCCCTCCTCTCTCTCACATTTCTATCTATCCTCTCCATTGGACATCGTCGTTGCCAGAATGCTTGTGGCTAGAGACCACTTTCAAGTGTCATTGGGTAGGGGTGCTATGAAGAGAAACCGCATATCATTGTTGCGATAGTGTCTACGTAGTGGCACAATCATCGCTATCACGATGGTGTTGAGAAGAGAGAGTCGCGTGCAGAAGCATCATGCTGTCAAAGCGATGTTGAAAAGAGAAAATTGTGCTGCATTGATGCTCAGATTGCAGTTGCAACGACAATCATCGGGTGGTGGTGTTGGTTTTACTGGTGTTTTTTTTTTTTTTTTTTTTTGAGTGGTGGTGCAAGCGATGATAACAAATCTATTGGTGTTGATAGCAGTGGTGGATTTGGCAGTAATGGAGTAGATGTAGGTGCTAGTATTGATGTTTGTGGGGTATTGGTGGTGGTGGTGGTTTTCAAAATGGTGGAGGTGGCGGTGGCGATGGCGTGGCATTACATTGGGTTGGGGTGTTATGACTCGTCATTTGGGTGATTGTGGCATATAAAGTGGTTAATTTATGATCAATAAATAAGTTGTGACCTATAAAATTTGTTATTTGAGACTGATTTGAAAATTTGTGATCGACAAATAAATTGTGACTAAATAATTTGATAATACGTGACTAATAAATAAGTTATGACCAATAATTATATAATTGTGACATTAATATATTTAATTAATAAAATATTTTAATTAATTAATTAATTAATATTCGAGTCTTGAAGTTTGAAACTTAAAACCTAAAAATTGAATTACCCCATACTTAATACCTGATTTTTTCCACAATAATTAAAGATATAGACGTTTTGTGCTAATTATCTTTTTAAAAATGGTTAGCTTACTTCAAGTATGTTTTTTAGGCTTTATATTAAATGTTTCAACATCTTTGTTTGAGCCTTATTCTTTAGAAAAATTTCATAATGGTTATTATTATTATTTTTTTTGGAAAATGCATCATTAAAAAGTAAAAAAAAGAAGAAGAAGAATTTACGTATAAAATTATCTTATTGATAGAGTTTGAGATTAAAAATAAGTTTGATAGAAAATGAATTTTTAAAGAATATAGCTCAAACAGGCAATATCATTAACATAAAATTAAGGGCATGTTTGGAAGCTATTTTTCCTCCAAAAAAATTGATTTTTTGACCGTTATTTCACTATTCCAATCGTCATATTTGACTTCTTCTCTCACAGGTGGACCCTACTTTTTTCTTAACGGTCAAAAAAATCAATTCTCAAAATCACTTCCAAACAGACTGTAAAATAATACTCTTTTCTCAAAAGACATTTTCAGTCCAAATTCATTCCAAATCTTCTTTTCTGCTATTTGTCTCGACTTTTGTATTCTTCTTCAATTAAAATCCAAATTCATAATGTTGTTTCCCTCTAATCCTCTTCTTTGTTTTGCCTTTTTATATAACTTTTTTTTTTTTTTTTGCCCATGCAATACATGAGTTGTATTATTTTGAAAGTAATGTTAGTGTGTTTGGTGTAAAGAATTAATGAGAGATGAATATTTTGATCTTATAGAGGTTGTTAGGTAAATGAATATGTTTTGCTCATAAGTTTGTCCTAATAGCCACTTGAGTACTAATACTTTTTCATTTGAAATATCTGTCATTTAATTTCATAACGAGAACTATCTTATTGTGCTTCTCTTCGTGAATTAGAAGAATTTAAAGTTGCGATTGATGCCTATAGTCAGAGTAAAGGAGGAGTTTTCTAAAATGGGAGTTGAAGTTCAGACAAAAAGACTATTATAGGTTTTGCTTGCTGTACTTGGAAGATACCAGGTTGATGAATGGGACAATGAGAAGCCAATACACGATTCTCCACTCTCTTTCATTTTTGTTTTCTCTTTTACGGTTTGAAATTCTGTTTTTCAGCTTCTTGAATGCATGCACGTTTTTCAGTGTTCAAGGCCCCGTTCAAAAATGGTAAGACACAATGCAATCAATGTGACGACCAGAATATTTAACAGCACGTAGAAAAGCCCAACAACCATTACACTCATAATATATGTTTGATGTTCAAAAGTTGAAAGGATTCAAGATAAAGTATTATCACCTATTTACAAAAAGGGGAAGATATCTATTAAAAAATCATCCCAAATTTTCTTCAAATCATATTGTTGAGAAAGTTCAGTGATTTTCTATCAATTGCCTGTGAAAAAAAATAGAGACAAATGAATTACAGTTACTCTCACAATTGCTCTACATATGAAAAAAAATGTTAGATTAACACAACAATGTACACAACGAATATGAAAATAAATATCCTGTGAATACGAACCGGGTTACAATAATTATTCATTACACCCCATCTCCACACCATTGTTGTTGTGACTGAAATTATTAATGCTACTTGAAATCGTCAAATTATTACACCTAGAATCACTAATAGAACTTCTATCTCCATCATACCACTACTTGAACTTCATCCACAATTATCAGCAAGTCCTTCACATAATCATAAGGACCGCATCTACTTGTATCACACCATCACTGTTTCTATCATCTATACTTCATCTTTAACGATTGTCTATCATCGGCACCACGTAAATGTTGCTGCTACCAGTATGAGCATCTCTCATTCCACATTTTTTGTTAATCAACTTAGAAAATTGAGATTCAACAGCATACAAATAAGATGATAATAACTTGTAAGTTCACTCAAAAGTCTTGAATCAAGACGGTTAATAGTAGCTGTAGAAGAGTAAGATACACAACTTTTTCAAGGATTTTAAAACATTGCTGCGAAAAGAAGAATGTATTATTGTATAATGTTTAAGATTAAGAGAGACATAGAGGTTGATTGGGTGTAAAAAAGTGAGAGGATTTGGGATTTGAAAAGGCTGAAATTTGTTCAAACTCTTTAAAGAGAAATTGAATATAGCACCACAATTTTTTGCCATTGTTGATTCAATAAACTTAGCTCGTGTATCAGAGTAGTTGAAAGTAAAGTTTTAGCTTCATCAGTCAAGTGCCATGGTGTGCAATATTCACATGCCTTTTATTAAAAAAAAAAAATTGGTACTCAAGCTTCAACGTTAGAGGTTCACCAAATGTATTAGCAAGTTTTCTCATTCAAATAGTTCAAAAAAGTAAATAAATACCAAAAATGAAACTACACGTTGATCACGTTAAATGTAAGAGTATAAACTTGTGAAGGCGATGCTTTTTGGTCTCTCCTGCTATATCATCCAATGTACAATTATACAAGCAATTATAAAGGAACTAGTATATTGATGTGTATGAAGAAATGAGGATTTGACCCTTCACCCTCACCCTCAGCCACACCATCACCTACCTAACTATGTCATCCAATGTTCCATGCATTCATGTGTATCAAGGAATTAGTTTATTAATCGGGCTCCGATACCAAACACAAATTGTAAAATTGTAAACATAAGTATATACTTTCTAGCACTTATCACTATATGTTTTTATGCAACAATACTTCAGGATTAGTCAAAGAAAGTAACAACATGAATCCAAAAAGAAAGAAAACAAAAGCAATACACGGAACATAATCATCAAAATATTAAAAAAATAACAGGATTTAATATCTCATATAACTTGGTATTGAATGTTTCATAATCAATTTTTATATAAAGAAAACTATAAAACATACGCATATAAAGAGTAACCTGCAAAATTTGGCCAAGTATTTACTACATAAACAAGTTTACCAAAATCGCGAAATAAAAAGGCAAAAAAATGTTTACAATAGAACATTCATAGGATCCTGCCTATAATTTTATTGTGGCATGGATACAAATACTTCCAATGGATATGCAAAAAGTAAATAAGAAAGCTTACTTGATGGTCCAATAGAAGTGGCACCTCCATTCCAAAACATACAAAAAAAAAAAACCATAATTGCCTGCAAAACAATAAAATATACTAAACATAGTTTATCTTCCAATAGCAAAATTAACCGTAAAAAGAACAGACCAAAGCGAAGATGCTTGATCAAGGGCATCATTATCCTCCGACAGTGGCTGTGAAATTACCTTTTGAAGAAAGTGACTTTACCTGCAAATTAAGCACAATTTTACAATCTAAAACTATAGAATTAGTTCTTCAACAATTGAGTTTGTTTTGGTTCCATGGGTACCTAAATCCATGTTGAAATACACTTGCTTGACCCCTAAATATGCAATACATTTGTATTTTTTAAAAAGTTCTTTGCCATACTTTACACCAAACGAAGTGAACGCAAAATGATTATTATATCTCGTTTAGAATTTCTTACACTCCGTACATGAAGTTTCTTCAAAATAAACAAAGCATATAGTTCAGTTGGTGATTGAGGTTTAAGGAGCTTGATTTTTCCATCAGAACAACAAAACCATTTACTCTCTCTAAAAATTTTTCATGCATCACAATATTTACAATCGATATATGTTGGTTATACATAGGTAACATTTGGTACATGCAATAGGTTCAAACTTTCTTCTACTTTAGAACTGAGAACATCAATTGTTTTTATACATTTGAACAAGAACTGAACTATTGTCTTCAAGTATTGTATTTTTATATATTAGAACAAGACCTGAACTATTGTATTGATCCTGATGTCTTTGATTATGTTGTTAACAAATAAAGGCGTGGTATAACTCATTGGTAGTTCGAGAAGTAGCTGGAAGATGAAGTAACTCCTGATCTCCATCATCATATTGTTTGAAAATATTATCTATTGCAACACTAACAAATTTTTGTGGAATAGCTGGACTCCAACTTTTGCGGTAGAAACTGAAACTACTAGATAGAAATAAAAAATACATAAAAAAATAGAATGTTCATAGATTGCACGAAGAAAATCAAGAACCAGCAACCTATTACAAATTTTAGAAGTGACTATAGATAAATAACCAAAAAAAAGAAAAGAAAAGAAAAGAAAAACTTAACTCATAAAGCAACGAGAAAAGATATGAAAGGAAATAGTTCAATAGAAAGACTTTCCTAAGGTAAAATACATTGTGGTGGTCGTCAACTACAACAACCGGAAAAGATGATCAAACATTATACATATAAGAACAATAATTACAAATTTTGGTTCAAGTATGTATAATATTAGAGCTTGCAATTGGTGAATAATTCTTTAGTGATAAATATTATAGAAGAAATTTAGGAGAAAAAGTACAGAAAAACTATAAAATGTAAACAAATAAAAAAAAACTCAAGTAAATTTTAAAAAGAAGAACAATTATAACATACCTGAAGGTAGCACAGTTGAATTGATGTTGGAAACTTTGAATTCCTTCAATTTTGGAATGATAACTTACAAACTGGAATGGAAAATAAGAACAAAAGAAATATTCATGAAAAGATTGATGAAAATGAATCTCTGTTGATTTAATCGACAAATATAATTGAAAAGGAGTGAAGTATTATAATGTATTTTTTGCTTCGTAGATGACAACATTCTCTACACTTCAGAACTCTTCTTGTATACCCAAAGAAAACAACGTAATGAACAAATCATTATAGAATAAAAAATAATCAAATTGATCATTTTCATTAAATTAGCACATTTTCAAACAAACTACAACAACATCTGAACAACCTTAGAACATTTTTTTTTTTTACAGGAGCCACAACATTGACGGATAGAAAATACAATTAAATATGAGAGCCAAAATTTGAAGGTCAAATATGGGTATGGTTAGCTAGCTAACGAGTAAACTTTTATGGGTTTCTGATAGTGGATTGCAGGTTGCAGTTGAGATGCAGATACGTATATTTTGGGGGAAAATTTTGATTGGGATTGTCATTTTGAAAACTATGATTCTTCATTACGCTTAACACTTGACGGATTGAAGCCTAATTTAGTGGAATGCAGTTGTGTTTCTGCATAATTAATAAGAATAACTTATCATAAGAAAGGCCAATGAAAGTGTAAGAATAAAAACACACCTTAACTAAATCTGCATAAAATAAAAGAAATACACAACAGAGCAAAGACTGGAAAAAAAGAATGAAGCTTGTTAGTTGGATGAAACTAAAATGTTGAAAACCAAAAATAAAAGCGCTGACAAAAATATAAGGAATCCTAGCCGAGCCAAAAAAAATACAAGAAACTGTTGTATTCCTCGTAAAAACATCAAAGGCAGATATCGAGCAAAAGAACACATTTGAAGAATTAAAGCTTTTGGAGTAAATCAAGGTAAGTGGAGAATAACTCAACAAAAGTCTCACATATCAACATACAATGAGAAGCAAAAACAAGTTAAATAAGGTGAAAAAAGTAACAAAAAAATCCACACAAAAGCAAAAATATAGCAAAATTGAAGCTTTTCAGCTGATCGAGTTAGACTAAGCAAGAAAAACCAGCTGGAAATATGCTAGAACTACGGTACAAATGATAGTCAGAACTAGAATATAGTCGAAGACAGCAGAAATCCAAAAAAAAAAAAAAAACACACACACACACACACATACCCCCCAAGCAAGATTTATAGCTTTAGAAGTAGATCAAATTAAAAGAAGAGTAACCCAACAAAAATTTCACATCTCGGACAAGGAATTGCGAAAAAAACCTTTAGTAAAACCACAAAAAGCAACAAACAAATCCACAAAGAAGCATGAATCTAGCAAGAACTAAAGTTTCTCAACTAGATCGAGGCAAATGAAGAATAGAACAATGAAAAATATGATGAGAACACAGAAGCCAATGAGAGTGGAAGAGGCTAGATGGTTTCTAGAAGCAGATATTTTACTTGTTTATGAATATGGCGTCGTTCCCAGTATATGAATAACGAACAATAGTAGAATCGATTATGGTGTGCAATGGAGGATAAAAAAATGAACAGTGAAATGAGTATTCGCCCTTTTATACTAAAGGCAATGATTATTTATTTAGTTTAACTCAAAGCATAAAGAAACACGTTCAAGACAACATATTAATAAGATACTCTTTTTAGTTTTATTTGTTGTTTTTTGATATTGTGTTGCTTTGAGTAGTACGTATTCATCGCCATTTATTTTTAATTTAGTGTTTGAATGTATTTTTTTTATATGAAATAGCATTGAAAAGTATAACGTCAAGATTTTTGTAGTTGCAAACCGTTAAAACGACTTCTTTGATTATTTTAAATTTGTTACAATTGATTATTTGCTAATATTTTGAAAAATTGTCATTGAATCATAGAAAGGGAACAATAACTTTACCCTATATTTTAAGTTTTAATTTCAAAATTCAGTCACTATATTTTTTGTGTGTGCCAAATTTCAATATATTTACCCCAATATCAAGCAAGTATATATGTTTTTTCTTTTTCTTTATTTTCTTTATTTCTTCACGAAAGAAGAGGCACAAACACAGAAAAAAAATCAATGTTAGGAAACGACCGAACACACTACATACACGGATGCCCGTCTGTCGACTAATAATCAAAATGGCAACAACAATTGATTTTCGAAAATCATTAATCCTGCCTTTCGTGTTGTAACTGATGATGCCAACTAAATTATTAAACAGTTAAAGACCAACTCTTTTCTCGTGCTAACGTCGTGCAAAATTTATTTTTTGTGTTAACGTCAACTAAACGACGTGTGATTTTCTCTCTCTTTGATTGTGATACTTGATAAATATTAGAGTATGAAAGGTCTACGAGAGTGTTTTGTACTGATAAAGGTCAAATTTAATTTGAAATCTGTGTCCAATGTGGGGTTTCAAGCGAAAACGACTGCTGGAATAAATATTTTCAATTTTCGAGAACTGAGTTGCCCCTACATCATATTTCAGGAGCGCACACAATGTTCAGACCACTTTATGTCTGCTGCTGCATTGTCCATATTTGTGCATGCGCCATTGATTTTATGTTGCATTCGCATTGGTAATGAACTCTCTACCCGACTCCTTTTTTTTCTCTAATTTCAGTCATTCAACTTCCAAATGAGTCCGAGAGACATTAAATCGTCTTTCCCATGTTCAAATCAACTTTTATATATTTGTAATTTGATCTTCAAATACTAGATTTAACTCTTGAAACTTGTGAATTTCATTCGGTCGCTCAATTAACACTTTCAATCAATCAATTTTAACTTGGTTAATCTTGAAGTACTTCGATTCAACTCAAACTAAGCTCCAGTTTTCACCTATTTCACTCAATTTTCATCCAATTGCACCCAAACTTGAATTTTTTTCCTACAATAATCGATATTAAACAAATATTAAGTAGTAATAAACTTAATTAAAAAAACTAACTATGACTTTCGATGACCTAAAAATAGGTGTAGATATTGCACCTATCATAGACCATGGAAGAAATGTAACCAAAGAGGATGAGTTAACGCAAGTTTATTTAGTCTTTTTTTGATAGAAATTATAATCAAGATTTTAATCTAAGTAAAAGTTAAAAATTAATTTTATTACACTTTTAATGGGATTCACAATTTTCAACCACACATTTCATTAATTTCTATCTAAATGTACTAAAAATCTAATTTTAATTCCCATCAAACAATAGCTTAGTCTCTGTTTGAGCTCCAATTTTGTAAAAATCAATTTCGTAATAGTGATTTTATTTTCTTAGAATTTTTGTTTAAAATGTAAGATTTTTTTTTTGAATTTACGTGTAAAATTATTTTATTGAGATAATGTAAGGTTAAAAATGATATTTAAAGAAAATGCGTTTTTAGGTAACAAGGTTGAAACATGGGCTTATTGTGTGTTTTAACCATTGTTTGATGGTCATTATAAAGAGAAATTAGGTGGGAATGATATTGTGAATGGTATTTTTTGAAAGTATGTGATTAAAAAGTAGGAAATAATTTTGAGTTTACGTACATAATATTTTATTGTGTGAAATGGATAAAAATGAGTATAAAAAATAAAGAATTTTAATTTAGAGATACTCAAACAGGGGTTTAGAGTATATTTGAGAGACTCTCTATTTATAAAGAACATCTTCTGTATAATAGAGAGTCTCTTTGAAATTTAGAGAGTAAATACTTTTATATACTTCAACAAATTCTCTATCTTCACTCTTTATTTTATTTTTTTAATGAACATTTATTAATTTCTCATCATATCTTATTTGACATTATTCTTTTATATGATAATAAATGTGATTTGAATAAACTAAATTGTAGAATATTAAAATTTGTAACTTATTACAGCATGTATGGTTTCTTTTTTAAAAATACGTTTTTCACTTATTTATTTTCAACCACACATTTGTATAAAATAATATTACACATAAACTTAAAAAATTTTCCTCATTTTTTAACAATATATTCTCCATCAACTCACCATTCAAAAGCGTATTTTTGAAAGAAATGGGACTCAAACGTGACCTAACTATAATTATTGGACATCAAGAATAAAAAGTGAGTTTGACTCTCTAAATTTGGAAAGCAACACTGAGTCTCTATTTTAAAAAGTTAAAATAAAGAGCATGTTAGAGCAATGAACCGTGCTGGATGGCCATGTCCAAGAAGATTTGTTCTAGAACATTTCACTATAATAACTATCACTACTATATGAAAAAAGGGAATGAGAAGGTACTGTAGTTAGGAACAGTTAATTCTTCCATATTGTCACATTGTAGCAATTTTTTTTTTATCATGGAAGCAAAAATGACGTCGTGTTCTCTTCAATCATTTTTGTGATTGATACAATGATATTTTACTTCACTACTGTGTAAGAGGAGAACGAGGTGTCTGAGCTGTATATATATTTTTTGCCTTTTATTATGTCTCTATTAATTTTCATTTCATTTCCTTTTTTTTTTTATCCCTTTTTACCCTACATTTACAATACACTTTCTCTGTTCATATCTGAAGTGTTTAGTTGCATTTTCTCTCACTGTAGCTATATATTTTGCCTTTTTATTATGTTCCTATTAATTTTTATTTCCTTTTTATCCCTTTTTACCTATATTTACAGTATAGAACGATATTGTTTCCCTATGTTGAATGAGAAAACGATGCTGTTTTATTCCATTAATATAATAAATGATTGAATATATCTTATATATAATTATTAAAAAATATTAATTATTTAATTAATAATAATTAAATCTTGATCAATGTATGTTATATTCACTCGTTATCTTAATGTCTGAGATGGATTTTTTTTAAGAAATGGAAAAAATTAAGATAATGATTAAAAGCGAGAGTCTTTGTCTTAATGATTATCCTTCTCAACTCCGTATCTATATGGCATTTCATCCTGCAAAAATTCAAATGTTATAACATTGAACAAGAGATAATGGAATAAAGCATAATTTCAAAAAATTAAGTGAACCGAATTGTACTATTTATTTTACATTAATACTATTCAAAAATTAAATGATCTAATAAATTAAAGAACAAAAAAAAAAGAATTGTAGCAAAAATGAAAAAACAAAAAAAGTTATTAAAAATAAGATATATTCAATCCTTTATCATATTAATGAAATAAAACAACGTTGTTTTGCCATTCAACGTTGGGAAACGATATCGTTTTATACTGTAAATGTAGGTAAAAAGGGATAAAGAAGGAAATGAAAAAAAGTAATTATAAAATTTTTTAATTAAATTGAAATAATTAAAAATAATTATTATTTATTTAAAATCGAAAAAATTATATTTTATCATAAAAAGAAAAGAATTAAAAAAATTTTAAAAAAATATATATAATGAAAACAAAAAAATTAAACAAAAGAAAGTTACGAAAATTAAATAAAGAATATATAAATATTATATAATTAAAATTGAAAAAATCAAATTTTATCAAAAAGGAAAAAGAGTTAAAAGGAATTTCAAATAGAAAATAAAATATTTATAATATAAACAAAACAAATTAAAAAAATAAAAAAGGAAAAAACAAAAAAAAAATCTCCGTGCAGCTCGCTCTCTGTTCATCCTGCCATAATTCAATGAATTAAATGATCGAATTTTACCAAACACTTTGAATCTTCAACAAATTTTGGAATATTTACAATTCCGAAATTAATAAAAATATAATAAATACAAAATCGACAATGACTAGTTGTGTTTAAAGAGTAATCCTCGTGTATAATAATATTATAATATAAGTAAACATTTTAAGCGTGGCCATACATGTTGTGAATACAAGGCCACCTTTTCGTTTCTCTTTCCACTGAACAGAGCAGTTAAGAACTTCAATTCCTCGCTAGGTTTTTCTCTATTTTGAACCCAACTTTTAACAATTTACAATACAATTATTATGGGTTTACACAAATTACACGTCATTTGCTTAATGATAAGCTCTAGATAATTAATTTTTCAGAGATGACAAGTATTCTAGCGTGTTATCCTCGGTTCTCGGGAGTTGGGGAGAATCATCTTCTTCACAGGGGAAAGAGAAATTGCAGAATTCAAATTTTTGGGTATTCAAATCTTGATTATCCCTGTAAAGAAGAAATGTTTTTTTCCCAATTTTCATTGCCCTGTAACCAGTGGTCCCAGTAATAGGAAATTCTGGGCTATTTTTTCTGGTAAACTGGAGAATGATATGGACCCAGATAACTCCGAAGATGATGCTGACCTGGGTGACTCTGAAGAGAACGGAATTGGACCGGTGAGTTGAGTTTCACCTCGGGTTAATTTCACTAATGGCCACTCAACTTTAATTCGAACTTTAACAAGCATTTCAGTCAAACAATCCATTTAGTTTGGCGTCTTGGTGGTCTAACTAAAACATTTTGTTAAGTACAGTGGGTGACACTAGGTGCAATGGTCAGTAGCCATTAGTGAAATTGACTTGTTTTGCCTCTTTTCTTGAGGCTTGCTTTTTTGTTAATTGTGTAGTTAAATGGTATGTTTACTTTGTTAGGATAGAATTGGAGTGTTAAAACATGATTTATTTATCTGGTTTTTATGAATCCTAGTTCCAGGATGTCTCCAAATGTAGCCTTGGAAAGAAGTCAAAAGTATTGACTGAGACAGGTCTCACCAATTTTGTACTAACCAAAATTCTATATTGTCATGTTCTGCTTAATATATGCATATGAATAGCTTTACCATTTGATGGCTAGTTAAGTTTTTGGGCAAGTGTTTTGCCAAATGATCATTATGTTTTTCTGTTAAAAGTTCATAAAGCCTTTTGGTTGTGTAGAATAATGGAACCAGTTTGAGTTTTGTTGTCTGCAGGGTTAGTGGTTCCAAGCATATTGCCAAGGGCATGATTTTCCGATGTTAATCCATATGATAATTTTCTTATTAATATCTAAGTTCTGCATTGTATGGCATGCTAAGCATTTATCTTGAACCTTTGTTGCTATAGCCTGAGGATCGAGACTCTCCACTCGTATGTTTAGTGCAATGATAAGTAGTCTATGCGATTGTATAGTGACAGAGCGCTACATAATGTCTGGTAATGGTGATTTTAAGATATCCAAATGTTGTCCTTTATTATGCTAATTTAATTGTAGCTAACATGTTTTTTTGGCCAACACGGGAGCAAGTGTCTTAATTCAAATCTATTCAGGTGAATAGTGAAATTCTGAGGGAAAAGCTTGAAAGAATTGTTGGGACAGATGACTCAAGCTTCAGCGGGATAGACCTGGCAACTCTTATACGGAATAAATTTGGGAGATCATATGATGTTCAATTAATTAAGAAGGTATTCAGTTTCTTCTCTTCATTCACCTCTAATATATAATATGAAATAGGCATGGCATTTTGATGACTTTGAAGGTGCTACAGGGTTGGTTTTACATTCAGACTATTATATGACCTAATCATATTTTATTTATATGGTTGGATCTTTTTGAACTGTATGTGCCCCTCGTTATATTGTTGATAACTGTTATTCGTGCAGTGCACTTTATCGACTTAAATGCTTGTGGCGTAATAGAGTTATTTATTTAAGATAATTGTACTCAAAGAAGTAATCCAAGAAAATACTAATAGCTAGCAACTTGCTGTAATTTTAACATTAAGTCAAGTACTTTTCAATATTTCCTACATGGATCGTTCATTTTGATTACCAAGATGCAATACAGGTGTAGAGCAAATGTGAAATATTGTGAAGTAGGGTAATGCTTATGAGGTTGCATTCTGCATGTGTGTGAAGCTAGAACTTCAGAATATCCTTTTCAGAAACTTTTGTGGTTGAACAAGGAGCAGATTCATTCATTAGACACCATCTGTAAACTGGAGTAAAAAGTTGGATTTTTTCTAATTTCATTCTCTACAATATTTACAATCTTATGCGCTAATATATAGTCTACAAACGAGAATTAAAAATGTTACTATTTAAACATGGAAACAAAAAAATATTTCTAATCTCTAAATATGGTTATCAAATCATTTCATAATTATGAAAATAATTATGGGATTTCTACACTCTCTTTCAAGTTGGATCATAGATGTTGACTATATCCAACTTGTAGAAGAAATCCTCAAAATTTTGTCATGGCAATCCTTTGGTGAGAATATCTGCAATTTGTTCTTTGGTAGGCACATAAGTCATGCATATAATCCCTTCCTCAACCTTTTCTTTGATGAAGTGTTTGTCTACTTCCACATGTTTGGTTCGATCATGTTGTACTGGATTGAGAGATATATCAATAGCTGCTTTGTTGTCGCAATAGAGTTTGATTGGAAGTTTTACCATATTCTGTAATTCGTCCAATAATTTATTTATCCACAAACCTTTGCATATTTCTTGTATAATTGCTCTAAACTCAGCCTCAGCATTGCTTCTAGACACCACATTCTGCTTCTTACTCCTCTAAGTCTCCAAAATTTCCCAAATGAAGGTGCAATAGCCAGTAGTTTATCTCGTGTCTTCTTGTGAACAAGCCCAGTTTGCATCAGTAAAAACTTCCACTCATTTCCTTTCATTTTTCTTGAAAAATAATCCCTTTCCAAGGGTACCTTTAAGATATTTGAGGATTCTATACACTTCTTCTAAATGAGCTTCCTTTGAAAAGTGCATGTGTTGACTTACTACTCTTACAGCGAATTCAATATGCGGTCCATTCTGCATATGACTAGGTCTAGCCTTCTTCATTACTTGGGCCGACCCCTTAGGCCCAATACCCTTAAGAACTTAAGGCAGACCCATTTTCTTCCTCTTCAACCTCGTTTAACATCACCTTCCAACGACTTTCTTCTCTATGCACCTCCACGAAGACCTATCGGCAATTGCAGTGGTCGTCGACTCAGAACCCTTCCCTCAATCATCCAAGTCTCGATTCAAGTCGGCCAAGAATTCATAGACCCTCTCATTTTCCAATTTCTTTTTGTATTGTATTGTGTCGACTGAGCAATCCCACTTCTCTTTGGTGTTCTGTTCGAGTTCTTGCCATAAGGAGCTCATCTCAAGAAAGTATTCTGTCATTTCCATGTTTCTTTGTCTCGTTTGCCATAGCCTGATTTTAATTTCAAAATTTTTGGAAGAATCGAACTGCTTCCCAAACATCCTTAGCCGTGGGAAGAAATAAGTATGTCTTTCCGATTGCGAATTTCCTGGAGTTAACTAACCGTGCAGCCACCAATGAATTCTCAGACCTCCATCTCTGCAGTGAAACACCGTCGGTTGAGGCAGGCTATTGCTTTTCTTCGGTAAGGTACCCAAGCTTTCCTTTCCCATCGATAATGAGTTTAATTGATTGGATCCATTCTCGATAATTTTTTCCAACCAATTTTCCACAGTGAGTTGGAATGAGGAATTGTCCAGTTCGCCTGAGCCCATTGATAGGAGGGATTTTACCTCGCTGATTTGAGGCTCGGGCGCCGTTGACTGGTTGCTATTTTCTGTGTATTCTGCCATTGGTGGTTGACGGCTAGGCCAAGCACAACCTGGCTCTGATACCACGTAAACTCGAGTAGAAAGTTGGAATTTTTCTAATTTCATTCTTTACAATATTTACAATCTTATGCACCAATATATAGTATACAAAAGGGAATGAAAAATGTAACTATCTAAACATGGAAAGAAAAAATATTTCTAATATCTAAATATGGTTATCAAATAATCCCATAATTCTAGAAATAATCACGAGATTTCTACACCATCTATTAAAAAGGATGTCCCTTGGACACTCGAAGAAATAATATCCTGATTATTTGCTAGTATTATAAAGGCCTCGTTTGGTACCCATTTTTTTCAAAATGTATTTCTCTCTCTCATTTTCAACCACATATTTTTTATTAAAATAATATTACACGTAAATGAAAAACTTTTCCTTATTTTTCAACAACACATTTTTTCCATCAATTTACTATTCAAAAATGCATTTTTACATACTCACAAACACCCTCTAAATATAATTGAAGATAAAGGGCCATATTCTGTCTCCAACTAAACATTGAAGACGAGTTGTCACCAACCAGTGGTAGACGCAGAGATTTTAAGTTAGGAGCATAATCAAACTTTCAAAAAAATTGTGAGAAATTTTACATTCGAAAATTTACATCCAAAAAAATCATACTTAATGTAAATTTACTCTCTAATTTTACTTTCGAAAATTTACATGGGGTAAGATATTTTCGGATGTAAAATTTAGAAAATTTTTGATGTCATACTCTACGTAAATTTCCTAATAAAATGATTAAATTGTTGCGCAAAAACATCAATGTTAATGATATAATTGAAAATTTTTAAAGAAAAACGAGTTAGACATCTCTTTTTAAATATTACGTTTGATGTACATTTAACTATTTACGATGTCTGTTTGGACCATTCGATTATAATATAGGTCTTGAAACAAGTTTGACATAGGCGATTTGTGGATTCGGCTATTTTACGACTATCGAAGAATTTTTAAAATTAGCATGCTATCGAAATTCTCGAAATAGTAGTTTGAAATGAATTACTTTAACAAGCCATAACATTTGCTGCGATTGACCTTTTCACGCCATTTAAGGACGTAGAAAACTAGTTCGTAAACACTTCGAAATTAAGAATGCAATATTTCAACTATGAGGGGTAGCTCAGTGGTCAGGCCTTGAGTTTGCTCCCTAATGGTCACCAGTTCGAGTTCTCTCAGGACCACTGAGGTGAGTATCATACTGTAAACTTCAAGACCCCATAGGATTAGTCAAGGTGCGCGTAAACTGACCCGAACCCCCACGGTCATAAAAAAAAAAGAATGCAATATTTAAACTTTATTTGACATCCTGTAATGACTTCAAAAATTGAGAAAAAAAAAGAAAAATGCCCAAAAATCTGGGGGTTATGTGACCCCCAGGCCACCCTCTGTCTGTCCTTGTCATCAACTTCAAGTTTTGACCTGAAGCATTGGTTGCATGTGCAATATTCAAAGTGAGTAGAATGATGCAAACAAGACAAGAAGCAAATAAAAGAAAGTTTAAGGAAAAACGATTTTCTTAGGCTGGCCATAAGATTAATCCTTCAAGAAAATTATTGCTTTAATATGTTGTAATTTTTAAATCTACGAGAGGTATGTACTGTTGTAAATTTGAATGACTAAGCTATATATATTGATAACTATGGGTGTTCAGGCCAGCTCACATGTACCTCGACTAATTCCACAGGGCCCTGAAGTTTACAGTCGGGCACTCACCTCAGTGGCTCTGAGGGGACAATAACTAAGCTATATTTAGGGCTGGTTGATTTTTCTTTTCCTTATTTGTGTTAATTATGTCATGCTTCATCTAAAATGACATATTCATAACATCTTACATCATCTTAGCTTTCTTTCTTTACTCCCTCTTGCATTGTATTCCGTGTTTTAATTTGTTAAAAGTATATTTTACTCTTTAGTCAAATAGTTGATATGTTAGTTTTCATTACAAAATGCAGGAGTTCATGGGTAGAAATCTCCTTGCTTTGAATGTTATGTGGAAGTACATGGAGCAGGTGAGCTTGTTTTTCTATTAGTTATATATTGGGTTACGTTATCAGCTTGCAATTACTTTTGAGTAGGCTAAAAGGGGTCTGGAAGATTTATAAAACTATTGTGTATTTTACAACAATCAACCAATCATGCATTTTGTCATCTTACAATATTAATTATGCAATCAACTATATTTTTTTTGAGTAACAATCATATCTATACTGCATGAGTCGAAAGTTATATTGCTTAGTATTCTGATCAAGTTGGCTAAGAAAGATTCTAAAACATAGCCCTTGTTTGAGCCCTAGTATTTGGTAAAAAAATGTATTTTGGAATAGTAGATTGATGGAGAATATGTGGTTAAAAAATAAGAGAAAAAGTTGGGTTTGCGTGTAATATTGTTTTATTGAATAATATGCGATTGAAAATAAGAGAGAAATATATTTTGAAAATAATGGGGATTAAACAAGGGCTTAGTGTTAATTATAATCTAGCAAATTGGGTATTCTATCATCTTGCAATATATTTTTCATTAGCTTTCTTACTTTTCAGTAACCATTGTACGTGTTGTGAAAGTTTGCTCCAAGATCTTCGAAACGGTGATTTATGAGCTTAGTTTTATGTTATCTTTCTCTATCAAACAATCAAATCAAATGACTTCGACCCATAACTAATATATTTATCTTGGCTGCTTCTCAATCTCACCCATAAAGGACAAGGTAACAATGTTGATTTGCAAGCCACAAAGGCATGAGAAAAACAATGAAAGAAACACAAAGAGGAGACCAAAACGGAGGGGGAAGTCATCGGTTTTCACTCTCAATTGCACACTTTTTTCTCCAATAGTAGGCAGCCGTGTTTTTCCTCTTCACACACAAATCACACACTAAAAACAAATAAGGTAATCAACATATATATAGGAATAGGTTAGGCTTTAGTTGGACCAAAAAAGGAGTTTAATAGGTTAAGATCCAAGAGCCATCCAATAGGTAAATATATATGGCCGTGAGCAATGTTAATTTCTTAAGCTACTTCCAATAGTCCACATTGTTTTTAGGTTGAGCCTTTAGACTTTGTTGTTGTTGTTAATTGATTCATCATTGGTCGAGGCTTGTAATAATATATTTCGATGTTTTACATTATCGCCGGGGATTTATTGGCCATTAGAACCCAATAGCGTGTATCTGGAGTTAAACATTATGTTTATCTGTAGAATCTTTTGATACTACAGCTGAAATGAGTACATAATATTAAAAGAACCTATGGTATAGAAACATCTCCATGTGAACATTTTTTAAGATGTGATTATTTGGTATTGACATTCTTTGGAAGCTTTTTAAGCTGATAATAATTTTGTAGCAGACAATAATTAAATAATATACTTGTGGCTCTCTATCATTATCTGCATATGACCTTTTTTCTTCTAGATGTTCATTTTGTATGACCTATTGGTTTGATGTTTCTATTCAGCGGACATGACCATTGCGAACTTAATGAATCCATCTTTTGGACTTAAAATTTAGCCCCTGTTTGACAACCATTATTTCGAAAAATAATATTTTGAATAGTGATTGTTAGGATAACTCTGATGAACCATTTCAATAGCACAGGTGCTGTCGTGTCATGAGGCATGACCATGGAAGTAATTAAAAACAAAAAGTTATGTAGTTGGACCATTTGTTCTATCTATTCGAGTTTGGCTTCTCTAAAGAAGATGAGAGGCTAAAAATGAAAAGAAAAATTTTAGGCTTACGTGAATAATATTTTATTGTTTTAATGTGTGGTTGGACATGAGTATTTAGAAAAAAAAATTTCAAATAATAGTTATCAAACAAGGTGTTAAAGTTTCTCTTGCCACTCAGCCAAGAGCCTTGTGCATTGTACAAGAACGTGCTATAGGAGTAATCCCTATAAGGAATGCAATAATTTCTTACAAAGTTTAGCTACAACGTTGCACGGTCGATATATGTAGTGTTGTTGGTGGCACCTTCAATTGATGTATATAGCCTATTCATTTTAGTATTTTTTTTCATTTATTCTGTTACATTCATTTGATGGACATTTGCTCTATACCATATACTATATTTTGTTGGATAACCATTTTCCGTAATAAAATTTGCTTTATTCCTTTTTATTTATTTATTTAAATTTGAGCCATGTTTCACTTGCATTGTGATAGAGATCCTTTCCGCTGATTGAAGAAGAGTATATTTTAAGGCTTAGTTACGTGGCAAATACATTGAAATGTTGGGGAGTTGTCTCTCATGTCCGAAATAGTTTGGAAAAGTTGAAAGAGAAAGAGCGACCGCGGATAGGAAAAGTAAACACGTGAGTACGTTTTACAATTTATTATTTTGATTCATCGTTAGAAAAGAAGTATGGCACACCACACTTGTACCTCCACATTGAAAATGAATTATAGTTTCAATATTAAGATTTTGGATACTTAGTATTATCCCTTGACTTTTTCTTTTTTGCAAGAACAAATTGAAGTGTTTCTTTTCATCTTTTTATGCATTATATATAATTCCAAGAATGAAATGACGCCCTACGATTCAAGTCTTTAAGACAACATTTTTAAGAATATAAATAGATTATTTCGTTTCATTTCATCTTTTTGAATCTTAATTTCTAAGTGTCATTTAGATTTTAATTCAAATGAACACTTATACGAGATTTTCATGTTCGTTGCAGGCAATAAACATTTTCAAAGACATGGATGAGTCTGGAGGCCGGGCAAACGAATGATCACAAGTAAAGCCATAAATTTTATTTTCTGATTTTCGGTATTTTTGAAATTGTATATCTTTATATTGAAGGTACCCTTTTAAAAGTGTCATAATGTGGCAAGTGTGAGAAAATTGAAATAGAGAAACATTATAAGACATGCTATTGTTTGTATGTTTTGTCTATTTCAAGAATTATTGTTATATTATTATGTGAAATTCTAGTACGAGCCAAGCTTGAGCTCTCACTAGTCAAATTGCCGAGCATGGAGTTGGACAGGCAAGCCATCACCATGGCTAAGCTTGAAAAGCTTTTAACTATTTCTGTAGGTTTGGTCCTTTGGTAATTGAATGTGGAAAAAGGTGTGAGGTATCGGGATAATTACACCTGGGGTCCCTAAAGTATTAAAAATATAGCTTGGAGGTTTCCCAATATATCATTTTAGCTTCTGTAGTCCCTAACCTTTTAGTTTTATAAAAGTGGAGTCCCTAGTAGTCAATTTTACACTTGCCTTTAGTTAAAAACTTGTATTGTTGTTAGAAAGATGATTTTATGACGTTTAATAAAATTATATTTTAAGTATCGAGGGTCCTTGTGATTGAATTTAATAAAGCCATTGATGTAACAAAAACCAATTGAAGTGTAGTGGAAGAGTTGTTACCTTAGTTTCGCAAGAACTGGAAAGAATAATCCATAGGACCCTTATTAATCCTTACCTACCTAGAGGTCGCCTCTCTATTGGATCTCGTCTCATCACTCAGGTGAAACGTCACTAAGTATCCAATGGCAATGGCTTTTGATAGAGATGAACGTTGTCAGGGTGGCAAGTGAAAGTAAGACTAACTGCATAACAATGACTACTTGGATTGTTGCTTTTGATTCTCTCTTGTAAGGCCAAGTCATAGCTCAAGTTCAGGGTGCTTAAATCAATTCACAGAGGCAAACAATACATGAATTAAGTAACATGGTACAAAAGATAGGTAGATAAAATCAGAATGTCCAATCAAACAAAAATCCTTGAAAAACATATAGCACATTACGATTAAATTTGCTGGAAAACCTTGTTAGCTGCTGCTATTGTCCGTTAAATGTCCTGAGGCGTACGCGCTAAGCTCGTAAATCCAACCTCAAACCAAGAAGGTGCGAAATATACACCTTTGTCCAGCATCCCTATGTAAAACTCGGCAAAATATACAGTATCACTCTTCTTTTATCCTCAAAGTGAAGAAATAAAATTCTGTATTGAATTATATTCACTCTTTACAAAGAATTACTATATCTTATTTATATTATAAGACACGGACAAAAAAAGGAAAATAAATCAACTAACTATGGAAGTAATTTCTCTTTCCATATATCCTAAACCTATAATTGATAGAATTTTCCATAAATAAAACTTTCCATATATCCGATTTCATATACTCCCCCTCAAGTTGAACTGCAAATGTTGATCATGTTCAACTTGCAGTTGAGTTCATCGAAAATTTGTCGAGGCAATCCTTTAGTGAAGATATCAACAGTCTGTTCCTTTGTAGAGACATAAGTCATACAAATGGTTCCATTGTCCACCTTTTCTTTAATGAAGTGTCAGTCTACCTCTACATGTTTGATTTTTTTATATTGTACTGGATTGAGTGAAATGTTGATTGCTACTTTGTTATCACAATACAGTTTGATTGGACGTTCCATGTCAATTTTCAATTCTTCTAAAAGTTTCTTTATCCATAATCCGTCACATATGCCTTGTGCAACTGCTCTAAATTCAGCTTCAACACTGCTCGTTGCTACTACATTTTATTTTTTGCTTTTCCAAGTAACCAAGTTTCCCCACACAAATGTACAGTAGCCAGTGGTAGATTTCCCGTCTTCAATTGATCCTGCCCAGTCTGCATCAGGGAATACTTCTTCTTTTTTCATGTTATTCTTTTTGAATAGTAACCTTTTCCCTGGTGTGCCTTTCAGACATCTGAGGATTTTATATACAACCTCCAAGTGAGCCTCTTTGGGAGAATGCATATGTTGACTTACCATGCTGACTGCAAATGCAATGTCAAGTCTAGTAAGTGAGAGATAGATTAGCTTAGCAACTAATCTTTGGTATCCGTCCATTTCCATTGGGTTTCCTGCATCCTTTATTTTTCCTACCTCAATAGGTGTGTCGCTTGGTCTGCATCCTAGCTTGCTAGTTCCAGTCAAGAGGTCAAGTATGTATTTTCGTTGTGAGACACTAGTACCCTTCTTCGATCTTGCAATTTTCATCCCCAAAAAATACCGCATTTGTCCCAAATCCTTTATTTCAAATTCAGTGGCTAACCACTCCTTTAATCTTTTCATTTTTGCTATGTTGTCCCCTGTTATAATTATATCATCAACATATACAATTAAGATCACTTTTTTCCGTCTTTAGATTGTTGGAAGAACATAGTGTGACCAGACTGTCCCTGCTTGTATCCTTGAATTTTCAAAACTTTTGCAAATCTATCAAACCATGCTCTAGGTGATTGCTTGAGACCACATAAAGACTTCTTGAGTTTGCATACTTGATTTTCTTCATTACATTTGTTGAAGCCTGGTGGTATTGTCATGTAGACCTCTTCTTCCAATTCTCCGTTCAAAAATGCATTCTTAATATCTAGTTGTTGGAGGGGCCAGTCTAGATTTGCTGCTAAGGATAGAAGAACTCAAATTGTATTTAGTTTTTCCATTGGTGCAAAAGTTTCTGTGTAGTCTATCCCATATGTTTGTGAATACCCTTTGGTAACTAGACGTGCCTTTTAGCGTTCTATTTCCCCATTGGCCTTGTACTACACATTGAAAACCCACTTGCATCCAATTGGTCTCTTTCTCTTTGGTAGGTTCACTACTTCCCAGGTTTCATTTTTCTTTAGAGCTCTCATTTCTTCCATTACTGCCTCTTTTCATTGTGGTGATTTCAAGGCCTCCTGAATGTTTTTTGGAATTTCTATTCTATCAAGGTTAGCTGTGAAAGCACGAAATCCTACAGATAGGTTATTATAAGATGGAAAATTCTGAGATGGGATGAAGGGTACATGATAGAGTTTGTTTTCTGAGAGTGATGGGTAGATCTATATCAGGAAATATGTTTTTGTCGAAGTTCTCATCTCTATTAGGTCCTACCACCGGTTCCGACTCTTTTGGTACCTCAAGTATGTGGGTTTCTTTATACTTTGATTTAGGCTTTCTTAAGTAAACTAGAATCTCTTTGTCACTTTATTTTTCAACATCTCTCCCTAAGTTCAAGTTTTCTTTTGTATATGGCATAGTAGAAGGTAGGTTGACAGATTTTGTATATTGGTTAGGCAAGAAAAAATTGACATCTAAGAAATCTTGATCCAAAAAATGACATTCTTGACTTAGATTCTCTCCCTGAAGGGAAGATTTTTGGAAGCAGGGTGTTTTTTCGAGGATTGTGACATCGAGGTTGACAAAGACCTTGTTGGTAGATGGGTCATAACATTTATAGCCCTTTTGATTGGGTGAGTACCCGATGAATACACACTTGGTCTCACGGGGTTCAAGTTTATTACGAAGATGGGAATGAACGTGTGCAAAGGTCGTACTACTAAATACCCTTAGGCGAAGGTTTGAGTGAAGACGAGAATTAGGAAAGTATTTTTGGAGTCGTTGTATGGGTGAGTCAAAGGAGAGAGTATGGCTAGGCAAACGGTTGATGAGGTATATAGATGTCAAAATTGCATCACCTCAAAAAGTTTTAGGCATATTGGCAGTGAACATTAGGGCATGAGAAACCTCAAGGAGATGCCTGTTTTTTCGTTCAGCAATCTTGTTTTATTAGGGAGTGTTGACACATGAAATTTGGTGGACTATTCCATGTTTCATAGATAGTCTTGTAAAGCGTTATTGAAGTATTCAGTGCCATTGTCAGTTCGCAAAATTTGAAGTTGTGTTTGGAATTGATTTTGGATCATAGAATGAAAGTTTATAAATACAGATCGGACATCGATTTTTTCCTTTAGTAGGTATACATAACAAACCCGAGTATGATCATCAATGAATAAGACAAACCATTTTGTGTGTGTACGATTAGGGATGCGGGAAGGTCCCCATAAGTCGCTATGAATCATGGCAAATGGTGTAGATGGTTTATATGTAGACTTGGGAAAAATTGAACGTTGATGTTTTGCAAATTCACAATTCTCACAATGAAATTCAATTGAAGTTTTATTGAAAAAATTTGGGGGAGTACACGTTTCAAGTATGGAAGACTATGATGGCCCATTCTATAATGCCATAACAAAAGTTCACTATCACTAGAAGCAGATGCAGAATTACAGCTATTAAATTGATCTAGTCTACTAACATCAGCTTCTTCGAAGTAGTACAGTCCCCCACACTCTTTAGCACTGCCAATCATTTTCCCCGATGAAAGGTCCTGAAATACACGGGAAGATGGAAAGAAGTTAGCAGAGCAATTGGAATATTTTGTTAGTTGACTGATAGATATTAAGTTACAAGATGAATTTGGGACATGGAGGACACAATCAAGTGTTATGGATTCAGAAATTCGAATACTCCTTTTTCTCGCAACTAAAAAGAGTGAACCATCCGCAATTTTTACTTTAACATCTCCAGAACAAGTTGAATATGACGAGAATAGTTGGAATGAATCCATCATGTGATCGAATGCACCCGAATCAATAATTCGAGGGGTTTTATATTTTGTAGTGCTTAAGGCTTGATGAAAGGTACCTTTATGGGCTAGAAAACTAGAAGGACCTTTGGAAGAGGGCTGACTGGATGTTTGAAAGCTAGAGAATATTTGATATAGTTGCTCCATTTGTTCAGGATTGAATCCACCACTTGAGGTAGGATTTATTGTCTCAACTTGGTATCCCTTGTTTCGAGTATTTGGCATTGACTTCCAATCTGCGGGTTTTTCATGAATTTCCCAACACGTATCTTCTTTATGTCCTGATTTACAATAATGTTCACACCATGGTCTTCCCCGTGGATGTTTTTGGTTTGGCCCATTTGTCACCCCTATTAAAGAAAAGCTCAATACTCCATCTCCATTTAAATTTTGAGAATCAAGCTCCAAGCCCATGATCTTCAAATTACCAGGTCCTTACCCATTATTACTCGGCCTAGAGGATTTCGGCCCATTATTGTCGGGTCCTGATTTTGGCGCTTTAAACAGAGGCCATTATTCCTAGCGTTAAGGGCCGGCATCTCTCCAGTAGCTCTGATCGACACCTTCATCATCACAAGTCGACGCGATTCTTCTCGACGAACCTCTGCAAATAACTCACGAGTCGTCGGAAGTGGTCCCCGGCCTAAAATTCTGCCTCTCACGTCATCTAACTCCCGATTTAATCCCGCAAGAAATTCATAAAATCTTTCGTTCTCCTGCTTCTTTTTGTACAGAGAACAATCATCTAAGTACTTCCATTCTTTTTTTGTACCGAGGTCTAATTCCTACCAGAGGGTCACCATTACCATGTAATAGTTTGTTACATCACTGGATCCTCATCGAGTTTGCCAAAGTCTGGTCTTTATTTCGAAGATACGAGATGCGTCTTCAGAGTCTGAGTAGGTATCCCTTACTGAGTTCCAAACGTCCTTTGTAGTCGGGAGAAACAGATATGTTTTACCAATGGCTAGCTTCATGGAATTCACCAAGCCATCGCCATGGAATTTTCGGCCTTCCACTTTTGCAATAAGGAATCATCAGTTGGCTTCTTGGTCTCACCTGTAAGATAAGCCAACTTCCCTTTTCCTTTAATTACCAGTTTTACGGATTGGACCCATTCCCGAAAGTTCCTTCCATTCAACTTCTCTACCGTGAGTTGGAGAGAAGAGTTTTCAAGTCCGTGTGTAACAATTGAATGACCAACTTCTGTATCGAAGCTAGATGTTTCAGAGGTTGTCGAGTCCCTACTATTGGCAGAGAATTCTGCCATGTTTTGCTAGGTTTAGAGACCTAGCTCTGATACCATGAAGAAATAAAATTTTGTATTGAATTATATTCACTCTTTACAAAGACCTACTACAACTTATTTATATTACAAGACACGGACAAAAAAAGGAAAAAAATTAGCTAACTATGGAAGTAATTTCTCCTTCCATATATCCTAAACCTATAATTGATAGAATTCTTTAATTGATAGAATTTTCCATAAATAAAACTTTCCATATATCCAGTTTCCTACACAAAGTTATAAATTGGGTGGTCTATGAAAAAGAAGCCAAACATCCCACTTATATACCCACAGCAAATTACATGCCCTACCTTCTTTCCAGCATCCACAATGCCCTGAATAAGTTCGCTCGTGATTGTGTTTAAGTAGTCGTATGTCTCAGGCTGTTTGAGTCGCTTAAGCGTGTGGATACCGACAGTCATTACCAATGGGTTTCGCTTAGGGTCCCGGCCTGATACATTGGTCCTGTTGGAGTAACCATCTCCATAATCTTCCGCTTTCCTCCATATATACCAATAGGTAGACCACCATCGATAATCTTCCCATGTGTTGTCAAATCAAGAGTATGCCTAAACACTCCTGAGCGCCATCATACGATAAACGAAATCCAATCATGACTTCATCGAATATTAAAAGAGTATAGTCATCTCTGGTGATCCTACGAAGGTCATTTAAAAACTCAGGTATCGGTGCAATAAAACTAGTATTTCCTACAATACGTTTGAGTATAACAGCTACAGTCTCTATTTTGTTTGCTTCGAAGAGGGTTTCGACATTTCACGAAGATGTCAAAGTTCCATATGTAGCTCCCTTAGGAACACCGGGGAGTCGGGAAGCCCTAAAGTAGCAACTCCACTGCCTGTCTTAACAAGTAAAGGATCTGCATGGTCGTGGTAGCAACCCTCAAACTTAATTATCTTTTCACGGTCGGTGAATGCACAAGCCAATCTTAATACGCCCATGCATGCTTCTGTTTCAGAGTTGACAAACCGAACTATTTCTGTGCTTGGAACAACAGATATTACCATTTCTGCTAGGATATTTTTGATGAGCGTAATTCACTCATTAAACTAAAGCTTCTAAATCATGTTTTTTGATGTGTTCTTGAGCATTTTTGAACGTTTTGATGTGTGTGTTAGTGTTGTTTTGCAGTTTGGACAACTCTCGAGAAAATATCACTATTGGGAGCCGGTGATGAGCAAAAATGATGATCAATGAAATGGAGCATGAATAAACAAGTATTGAATAAGATTGGAGTGGAAAATAAGCTTGGAAAAACAAAGAGGAGGATTAAAGCAGTGGCATTGGCGCCACGGCGTCGAAAAAGGGGCGCCATGAGAAGAAAAAGCAAGCAGAAACCTGGGCGCCACGGCGCCAAACTTGGGCGCCATGGCGCCCAAGGAAGAAAAAAAGAAGCAGAATATTGGGCGCCATGGCACCCATGAAAGAAAAAAAACGGGCAGAGACCTGGGCACCACGGCGCCAGACCCAAGCGCCATGGCGCCCGTTTCCAAAACACTAAAATTCGGGTTTTTAAGTATCTTTTCGGCCCAAAAATAGGGCGCCATGGTGCCCCCAAAGCGATGAATTCAAGCAGAAATTTAGGCGCCATGGCGCCCAGGACGGGAAGGAAGCAGAAACTTAGACGCCACGGTGCCAGACCTGGGCGCCATGGCGCCCAACACAGGCAGAAACGAGCAGGAACTTTGGCACCACGGCGCCAGACCTAGGCGCCATGGCGCCATGCTTGGGAGCCGTGGCGCCAAATCCCAAAACGTTAAAACCCGAATTTTTAATTATCTTTTCGATCCAAAAATCATACCCTAATCCTTGATGACTCTTAGAAAATATAAATACGAAGATGAAGAACAAGAGAAGGGGGTTAGACGGCTGAAGAGGCAAGAAAAAGAGAGGCACCAATTGAGAGAAGATCGACCCGATTTTGGAGAAGAAGAAGGGAGAAACTGAGAAATCAAGCAACAAGATTGAGAAATAGAGCAGCAACCCGAGTTTTTTCTTATCTTTCTCTTTTCCATGCGATTTAATTTGTATTTTATCATGTTCTTCTTCTCAATCATGAACTAAGTTATTAAATCTAGGGTTTGATGTAACCTATTTGAGACATTATTCAATTTCTTTATAGTATTTCCATTTAATTTTCTAGAATTGATTTGTATTGTTCTTGCTTAATGCTTTCAGTTGCCTGATTACCAATTGAATGAATTGATGTTCTAAATTTGACGCTCGAGAGAGGAAAATTTAGGCGTGATCTAAGAACAATATAACCTAGGTTTGTAGGTTTCGAGAGAAAGTACGAATCTTTGAGGGTAAAACAAGAATCAAGTGCGTGATAATCTTTATAAATTTAATTCGGAATAGAGATATTGGGGTTAAAATATAGAGATAGGTTCTATTTGACGCTCGAGAGGGGGAACTAGAATTCTTGCCTATAAATTCGGGAAATAGTTTATGGAAATATCTATAGGGATTGAGAATTATGTCGAGAATATGGTGAAATCACTCCCTAGACATTATGTAATTTTGATTTAGTCTTTAGAAATTGCCTCACTTTTATTGCACTATTTAATTCATTGACGTTAGTTTAGTATTTAAACATTAATATAACACTCGATTGTCTAGATAGAGTAAACGCGGACACAATTATAGTACTCAGTGAAAGTCAAATATCAATCCCTGTGGGTTCGACACTTTTCAATTCTTTAATATACTACAAAACTTGACACCGTGCGCTTGTGGTATAAAATCAAGTTGCATAAATCGCGTGACAAGTTTTTAGCGCCGTTGCCGGGGATTGATTCAGTCGAATTCAATTGATATTATTACCAATTGGCGTTCATTTTACTCTAGATTTTTAGTTTTACCGTTATTTTTATTTTACTCTTTTTGTGTCTATCTTTAAAAGCTTCCTTGTGATTATTTTTAGCTGTTTATGCGAAGGGCGAGAAATCTAGACCTACCACCTGTTGATCCTAAACCTAAATGCACATTTCGCATTCTCAGAGGCATACAAAGAAATGAACGGGAAGTAATGGCGGAACAGGATGCTAGAGCAGCCAATGAGGATAACCAAAAAAGGGCTGTTCGGGACTACATAAGGCTGGTTGTCAATGACAACTATTCCGGCATTGCACGCCCAGTAATTGCTACAAACAATTTTGAATTGAAGCCAGGGTTGATACATATGGTGCAGCAAAATCAGTTTGGGGGTGCTGCAGTAGAAGACCCAAATGCTCATCTTGTGTTCTTTTTGGAAATTTGTGACACAATGAAGATGCATGGGGTTACTGAAGATGCAATTAGACTCCGCCTATTCTCATTCTCTTTAAGGGATAAAGCAAAGGCTTGGTTCCAATCACTACCGTATGACTCAATTACAACTTGGGATGATTTGGCTCAGAAATTCATCACCAAGTACTTTCCACCTTCTAAATCAGCTCAACTTCGCGGTGAAATTAGCCAATTCAAACAACTCAACTTCAAGCCATTCTATGAATCCTGGGAAATATTTCATTATTTGCTTAAGAGATGTCCTTAACATGGGTTCCAGAAATGGGTGCAAATTGAGATATTTTATAATGGGCTAAATGGGCAGACAAGGACTATGGTAGATGTAGCTGCGGGAGGCATTTTAATGGCTAAAACAGCAGAGGCTACATATGTTTTATTGGATGACATAGCCACCAACAATTACCAATGGTCAAGTGAGAGATCGGGTGTAAAGAAAGTAGCAGGACTTCATGAAGTGGATCCCATCACTGCACTAGCAGCTCAAGTTGCATCACTCACAAATCAGATAGTCATACTTACCACTCAAGGAAATCAACAGAAGGTAGATTCAGTCATGAGTACTTCTTCTTCACGCCAAGAGACAGAGGTTGCAAACGAGTAGGCCCAATATGTCAACAGTAGAAACTACAATCAAAGAGGAAGCTACCAAGCTAATCACTATCATCCAGGGCTGAGGAATCACGAGAACTGGTCATATGGCAACAGCAGAAATACACTTCAACCTCTACCCGAATTCAACACTCAGAATTCTGATGGGAAACCACCATTGGAAGACATCCTTGGGACATTCATTTATGAGACAAGATCACGCTTCAACAATGATGAATCACGTTTGGATAATATTGAAACACATGTGTCCAACATGGGAGCCACAATGAAGAATCTTGAAGTGCAAATTGGCCAATTGGCTACCTCAATGAAGTCTCAGCAAAAAGGAAAATTTCCAGGTGATACAGAGGTCAATCCAAAGGTGCACTGTAAAGCTATTGTATTAAGGAGTGGCAAGCAAGTTGGAGAAAATGAACTCACTGAAGATAGCAACCCCACACCTGATAAGGAGAAAGAACAAGTAGTAGAAGAGCAAGAAAAGCAGGCCAAAGGAACAAATAAGGCCCACAAAACTTACTTCGTATCCTTCCCTGACAACCCACCAATTCTCACACCACCACTTCCATTTCCACAGCGTTTTCAAAAGAAAAAATTTGATAATTAATTTGCAAAATTTTTAGAAATTTTCAAGAAAATTCACATTAATATTCCTTTTACAGATGCTTTGGAACAAATGCCAAATTACGCAAAGTTTATGAAGAAAGTGATGTCAAAGAAGCGAAAATTGGAGGAATATGAAACAGTAAAATTGACAGAAGAATGCAGCGGTATTATTCAAAAGAAACTTCCTCAGAAGAGAAAAGATCCGGGCAGCTTCACTATTCCATGTACCATTGGAAGCTCTTCCTTTGAAAAGGCCCTCTGTGATCTAGGAGCAAGCATCAACTTAATGCCGTTATCAGTATTCAAGAAGTTAGGCCTCGGGGAGGTCAAGCTAACAACAATGACTCTACAACTAGCTGATAGGTCCCTCACCTACCCACGAGGAATTATTGAAGACATGCTGGTAAAGGTCGACAAATTCATCTTTCCAGCTGATTTTGTGGTATTGGATATGGAAGAAGATCAGGAAATTCCACTGATTTTACGCAGGCCATTTTTAGTAACTGAAAGGGCATTAATTGATGTACAAGGGGGACAGTTGACATTGAGAGTGAATGAAGAAGAGGTGAGGTTCAACATTTACCAAGCAATGAAGTACTCAGATGACAATGACACTTGCCATAGGATTGACTTCATTGATTCTGCTATGAGAGATGAGAAATTATGTATTGAAGATCCTCTAGAGCAATGTATGATGTTTAGTACAACAAAGGATGATATTAGCACTTTTGGAGAGTACATCAGGAGCAAGGATTTGGTTGATTACATATTGGCTCTTGAGTCTACATCAGTTGTGGAAAACCCATAATGTGAGGATATTCAATAGTCAGAGGAAGCAGATGACAAAGAAAGCAATGAAAGCAGTAAAATTGAACTGAAGCAACTACCAGATCACCTTCGCTATGCATTTCTGGGGAACAAGTCTGCATTTCCAGTAATTATTTCTTTATCACTCACCAGAGACAAAGAGGATAGATTATTGAAAGTGGTGAGAGATCATAAGGCCGCTTTGGGATGGTCGATAGTTGACATCAAGGGGATAAGTTCTACAATCTGCATGCATAAAATCCTCACAGAAGAGTCTTACAAGCCATCTATCGAACATCAAAGAAGGTTAAACCCAGCAATGAAAGAAGTGGTTTGAGCGGAGATTCTAAAGCTATTGAAGGCAGGGATATTTTTGTCATTTCAGACAGTGAATGGGTCAGCCCAGTGCGAGTGGTACCAAAGAAAGGAGGGATGACAGTAGTTAAGAACGACAACAATGAGCTAATTCCAACAAGAACAGTAACTGGCTGGAGGGTGTGCATTGATTACAGGAAACTGAATAAGGCAACTAGAAAGGACCATTTCCCACTGCCGTTCATAGATCAAATGTTGGACAGATTAGCTGGCTACTCTTACTATTGCTCTCTTGATGGATATTCGGGCTACAACCAGATTGCTATAGCACCAGAAGATCAGGAAAAGACAACCTTCACCTGTCCATATGGAACTTTTGCTTACAGATGGATGCCATTCGGGTTATGCAACGCACCGACCACTTTTCAGAGATGCATGATGGCAATCTTTGCAGACATGGTTGAAGACATCATGGAGGTATTTATGGATGGCTTCTCGGTATTCGGTACTTCTTTTGATAACTGCCTTCATAATCTCTCCTTAGTGCTGCAATGCTGCAAGGAAAGGAATTTAGTTCTCAACTGGGAAAAGTGCCACTTCATGGTACAAGAAGGTATTGTGCTAGGCCATCATGTTTCGGCGAGGAGATTGGAAGTGGACAGAGCAAAAATTGATACAATTGAAAAGCTACCACCACCCACCAATGTCAAAGGGATTCAAAGTTTCTTAGGGCACGCTGGATTCTACAGGAGATTTATCAAAGACTTCTCAAAAGTCGCAAAACCCCTATGTAACCTTTTGGAGAAGGACACAACGTTCGTATTTGATGATGACTGCTTACGGGCTTTTGAAACCATAAAGGCAAAATTAGTCACTACCCCAGTGATGGTAGTACTAGATTGGGATCAGCCATTTGAGGTTATGTGTGATGCTAGTGATTACGCATTAGAGGCAGTTTTGGGACAAAGGCATGATAAGATTTTTCGGGCAATCCACTATGCCAGCAAAACTCTTAATGGAGCTCAACTAAATTACACAACCAAAGTGATAATTTACATGGACCATGCTGCAAACCGTTATCTCTTTCAAAAGAAGGATGCCAAGCCACGCCTAATTCGATGGATACTGCTACTACAGGTATTTGATGTAGAGATTCGGGATAAGAAAGACAGTGAGAATGTCGTTGCAGACCATCTCTCACGATTGGAGAATGAAAAGGTGGTGGATGACAATCAAATTCGAGAAACGTTCCCCGAAGAGATCTTGCTAGCTGTATCAACAAAGATCCCATGGTATGCTGATTTTGTTAACTATTTAGTATCTGGAAGATTGCCACCTGACTTGACCTTTCATCAAAAGAAGAAATTTCTATATGATGTCAAGTCATTTCTGTGGGATGATCCAATCTTGTTTAAAAGGTGTGCTGATAGAATAATTAGGCGGTGTGTCCTTGTGGAAGAAACGCGATCAATCATGCAGCATTGCCATTCCTCACCCTATGGAGGTCATTTCGGTCCTACACGTACTGCTGCAAAGGTATTGCAATCTAGTTTCTATTAGCCAAATTTGTTCAAAGACTGCTATGCTTTTGTGAAGACATGTGACCGCTGTCAGCGCACTGGAAACATTTCAAGACATCATGAGCTACAATTAACCAGTATGCTTGAGGTGGAATTATTTAATGTGTGGGGTATTGATTTCATGGGTCCATTTCCACATTCCTTTGGTCAAGAGTATATTTTTCTCGCAGTAGATTATGTGTCTAAGTGGGTTGAAGCCATTGCCACACCAACAAATGATGCAAAGGTGGTGTTGAAATTTTTACAGAAAAATATCTTCACTCGGTTTGACACGCCTAGAGCAATCGTAAGCGATGGAGATACACATTTCTGTAACAAGCTGTTCAATTCTCTTCTAGCTAAGTATGATGTCAAGCACAAGTTGGCATTGAGTTATCATCCACAGTCAAATGGGCAAGCAGAGGTGTCTAACAGAGAGATTAAACAGATTCTGGAAAAGACAGTGAATACCAATCGAAAGGACTGGTCTTTCAAACTAGATGACGCTCTTTGGGCATACCGAACAACATTTAAAACTCCAATTGGAATGTCACCCTACCGTCTGGTAGTCGGGAAAGCTTGTCATCTACAGGTAGAATTGGAGCATTGAGCTTATTGGGCTGTGAAGAAATTGAATTTAGACATGAAATTGGCCGGTCCACAACGCTTGTTGCAGTTTGATGAGTTGGAAGAATTTCGGAACGATGCATATGAAAATGCAAAGATATATAAAGAATGGACAAAGATGTGACATGACAAGAGAATACTAAGAAGGGCTTTCAAGGCAGGAGAACCGGTTCTTCTATTCAATTCTCGCTTGAAACTCTTTCCAGGCAAGCTCAAATCCCGGTGGTCAGGACCATTTGTAATCCGCAAGGTGTTCCCTTATGGTGCAGTGGAATTAGTAGGCAAGGATGGGTCTACTTTTCAGGCAAATGGGTAACGCCTCAAACATTACTATGGAGAGGAAAACTGGGATGTGAAAGAAATTACCCTTGATGACCCAACTTGAAACCACATCCACGTCCAGCTAAAGTCGTAAAAGAAGCGCTTATTGGGAGGTAACCCAAGTTCTATTCCTTAAGTTTCTTTTCATTATTTTGACATGTTCTTTTCCTCTTACGCCAATTTGATAAGTTCATTTTTTTCTTTATTTTGTAGGTCTTGCTCAAAATGGTTGCATCAACACTCTAATCAATATGGGAAAGGAATAGGTTGGAGGTAAAAAATAATAATAATTTAATTTTCAGTAACATCGGCGCCATGGTGCCCAACACGTTTTTATCCTTAAAACAACAACACAAATTTTTTTTCTTTTCATTTTCCTACTCACAAAACCCTTATATTCTTCTTTCCTCTCAAATCTCCCCCTCTTTCCCCCACACTTGCACACACCAATTCTCTCATACTACCCCACATTTATACTTTTTTACATCTATAACAATCCATATCTTAGAAGTGAAAGGCTAGTGACTAGTTCATCAAAGAAGGTGGACGGTTAACTTCAGTTGATATTGTGAAAGAACACTTACTCCATGCCTCCTAAAAAGAAATCCAAGGCCACTGCCTCTTCCTCTATTACTGCTTTTGATTGTCGACGATTCATTAGTTCTACCAAGCAACGTAGTGCTGCATCCATTCCTCTGGTGAAAGAGCTCTATGCCAACGCTAATGAACATGAGAACTTCAAGGTTTTTGTACAGGGTTTTTGGATCAAGTTTGATAGTGCCTCAATTAACCGGTTCTACCATACGTGGGATATACCCAATGATGACTATTCCCAACTCCGGAATGAGGGGATCGATCCTGGGGAGAGAATTCGCACTATAGCTCGCCTCGATACCAAATGGAAAGGATCAGCTAGTAATGTAACCCACTTCCCTTCATCTGGTCTGACACCCAATTGTAAAATCTGGCACCACTTCATATCATCCAAACTGATCCCCAGTAGCAACACTAGCGAGGTCACAAAGGAACGGGCCTTACTGAATTTTGTGATTCAAAAAGGATATTCTATTGATGTTGGCCGAGTCATCCAAAATAGTATTCTTCGCATCCTTGTCGGGCCTGCTACAGGCAGTCTGGGTCACCCCTCTTTGATCCATGACCTTTACATACAAGGGGGTGTTCCCGTGCGCGAAACTGATGAAGTGTTACACTCGAAACAACCACTTACACGGGACCTCCGTGATAGGCATGTGGGACATCGGGAAGTGCCTAACTCTTCTCAATCATCTCGTCCGTTACCTCCTACACCATCACCTCCACAACCTTCTAATGCTACGGGGGACGTCCTTCGACGTCTTGAAGCCATGGATTTGCGCATGACCCGATGGCAGGAGGGCATGCAAGTACAAATGAATCATTTACAATCCACCATCTTTGATCAATTTCAATACCAGAACGCTTGCATGGCGGTTATGGCATCTGCACATCCCGAGCTCACCTTCCCTCTACCGCCATCACTTCCACCTCATTCCCATCCTCCTGCTCCACCTGATGAAGAGGAAGACAATTGATGTCTTCACTGAGATATCTCCCTTTCCCTTCTTCCATTTTAACATTGGGGGCAATGTGTAGTTGAAGTTTGGGGGGAGTATCTTAAATTGTCTAAAATCTAAAATTGCCTATATTTATTTATTTATTTTGTATGATTGTGTGCATCTATATAAAAAAATATATATATAAAAAATAAAAAAAATTTTAAAAAAAATTTCGTGTTTTGCATGCTTGTATGAGTTAGATAGTCTTGCTGGCGATGATGTATAATATTAAGAACATGTATTGGTTCATGGATTATGAATAAGTCATATGTGTGAGTTAGATTTTTGTTTATTCCTGTGAAACGAAAATTATTTTTGCACGTGGGTTGATTGTAGCGTTGTACATGAGTAGGTTGATCTATATTTATAGGTTGAATAAGAGAACTTAGATGCTAAACCCAAACAACCTTTAAACACTATTATACCCTTAAATCAAATATAGGCTGTTTGGTAGGTTAAGCTGTTGCAGGAAAACTTGGAGATAAATGTGGATTCCATGTGTGCTAAATTTTGTGTGGATTGTCTGAGACTAATAGGATGAAAATTGGGTGAAAACTTGAAGTTAGAGGTTGATTTTCGAGAATAGGTGTTTAATAAGGGGCATTGCACTAATCATTGCATAAAAAAGATCCCAATGAGGACAACTTTAAAAATCTCATTATGAATCATCTTTTCATAGCCTTTATGACTCGAGTGATTAAGCCTGTAAGGGTTTAAAATTTGGTGCCTTAAAGTCGTCTGATTTGGGAGTCATCGGCCTAAAGTTCATTACAAGGGTCATTTAGAAAGCTTGAGGGAGTGACGTCCACACAAAGGGTGTTTAAAGAATAAATATATTAAAAAAAATAATAAATAAATTTAAATATCACATATTTTGATTACGCCCCGAACACTTGTTTTAGAGGATTAAACCTTTGATGAGAGGTTAGTAATTTAGTTGATTCATAGAGGTTGAAGCAGTCAAAAATAAGGATAATCCTCATTTGTTGATATGTTGAACTGCAATAGTGAAATCTAACCAAACTTGAGGGATGTAAGAAATTAGCAAAAAAAAAAAAAAAATAATTTTAGAATACACCTTGGAAAGAGAAAAGAAAACAAGATTGGGAGTGTGTGAATCCCACGAGCGAAACAAGGAAATATTTGACTTTTAAGGTCGAAAATTGGGTCAATTTATTATTGTACAGTGTTATGCTTAACTCTACACACACACGCCCATTTGCATTGAATGAACGAGGATTTGATGCCTGCATTATAGTTTTGAAGTACTTCATGAATTTGACGCTGTGTTTTTAATCTTGAGCTATAAATGCAAGGTGTTTAACATAAAGTTTCTTTTGAGTGACTTTATCTGTCTTAGTCGTGTTTTTGTGCTCGTTAATAATTATCTTTAGTTTTGTGTTTGTTCGAGGACAAGTAAAGAACTAAGTTTGGGGGTGTTTGATAAGTGTAATTCACTCATTAAACTAAAGCTTCTAAATCACTTTTTTGATGTGTTCTTGAGCATTTTTGAACGTTTTAATGTGTGTGTTAGTGTTGTTTTGCAATTTGGACAACTCTCGAGAAAATACCACTATTGGGAGCCGGTGATGAGCAAAAATGATGATCAATGAAATGGAACATGAATAAGCAAGTATTGAATAAGATTGGAGTGGAAAATAGGCTTGGAAAACAAAGTGAAGAGAAGCAAAGCAGTGGCATTGGCGCCACGGCGCAAAAAAAAGGGCGCCACGGCGCCCTCAAAACGATGAATTCAAGCAGAAACTTAGGCGCCACGGCGCCATGGCGCCCAATGAGGACAAGAAGGAAGCAGAAACTTAGGCGCCATGGCGCCCAACACAGGCAGAAACGAGCAGGAACTCTGGCGCCACGGTGCCAAACCTAGGCGCCAGTTACCATAATAATCGCGGCGCCATGCTTAGGCGCCATGGCGCCAAATCCCAAAACGTTAAAATTCGAATTTTTAATTATCTTTTCGGTCCAAAAATCATACCCTAACCCTTGAGGACTCTTAGAAAATATAAATACGAAGATGAAGAACAAGAGAAGGGGGTTAGACGGCTGAAGAGGCAAGAAAAAGAGGCACCAATTGAGAGAAGATCGACCCGATTTTGAAGAAGAAGAAGGGAGAAACTGAGAAATAGAGCAACAAGATTGAGAAATAGAGCAGCAACCTGAGATTTTTCTTATCTTTCTCTTCTCCATGCGATTTAATTTGTATTTTATCATGTTCTTCTTCTCAATCATGAACTAAGTTATTAAATCTAGGGTTTGATGTAACCTATTTGAGACTCAATTTCTTTATAGTATTTCTATTTAATTTTCAAGAATTGATTTGTATTGTTCTTGCTTAATGCTTTCAGTTGCCTGATCACCAATTAAATGAATTGATGTTCTAAATTTGACGCTCGAGAGAAGGAAATTTAGGCGTGATCTAAGAACAATATAACCTAGGTTTGTAGGTTTCGAGAGAAAGTATGAATCTTTGAGGGTAAAACTAGAACCAAGTGCGTGATAATCTTTATATATTTAATTCGGAATAGAGATATTGGAGTTAAAATATAGAGATAGGTTCTATTTGACGCTCGAGAGGGGGAAATAGAATTAATTTAGGATTCTTGCCTATGAATTCGGGAAATAGTTGATGGAAATATCTATAGGGATTGAGAATTATGTCGAGAATAAGGTGAAATCATTCCCTAGACATTACGTAAGTTTGATTTAATCTTTAGAAATTGCCTCACTTTTATTGCACTATTTAATTCATTGACGTTAGTTTAGTATTCAAACATTAATTTAACACTCGATTGTCTAGATAAAGTAAACGTGGACACAATTATAGTACTCAGTGGAAGTCGAATATCAATCTCTGTGGGTTCGACTCTTTTCAATTCTTTAATATACTACAAAACTTGATATCGTGCGCTTGCGGTATAAAATCACGTTGCATAAATCGCGTGGCAATTTTCCAGAAAACAAGGAGCACCAAAGCTAGTTACTTTTTTCATTGTTTCGGCCAAGGCAGCAAGCGCCTGCATGTTACCCATACATGAACAACTGCAAATTTTAACTTTTCTCTTCTCGAACGTTCAAATTGAAAACAAAATTACTTGTGGCTAAATTGCCCATCTGCATATCACTTTAAAGGTTTCATATAGTTAAACTATGGGTCATTGTCCAATAAAACATAAAAAAGAAACGAAAGAAAATCTTCAAATGAGATCAAGTCTCAATAGGTCATAAGTAATTCAAGTCTTTCTATGCAAGAACTAAATTAAAAAAAAAAATAATAATAAAAAATTACACAAACGGCCTAACCATTGAAACCACCATACCTAAGAACAAACTTATCAATGCAACTCCTCTATTGATTCTAAAAAGGTTCCAGAAACATCTTACTATTGCTATATACATGCTCGATTGGCAATAGCTTTTAAGAAGGGCTAGAAATGGACTTCATCATCTGCATGACCAATTATGGCTGGCCCCTTCGATCCTACATAATCGATGTACTCATTACCATCGATATCCCACATGTGAGAGCCCTTGACAGAATCAATAACAATAGGCCGGCCACCAATTGATTTGAAAGCACGTATAGGGAAATTTACTCCTCCTGGCACCAATTCCTGCAATCATGTATTATAGACCTATATTATGAGCAACATAATCGTTAAAAAAGTAGACACGAGTACATAAATGAAGTCAAAACCGTATTGTAACAATCTTTTTTTTAGGGTAGAAAGGGGTACCATGCGGCAATAGTCTGCTCCGCTAGGCTACCCTCCACTTATCCTCGATTGTTTTGAGATAAAACGCAATTCGAAAACAAGAGAATTTAAATATATCAAAAATATATTTAGGGCGCGTTTGATTCCCATTTTTCCCAAAATATATTTTTCTCTTTCTTCTTTTCAACTACACATTTTTCAATAAAATAATGATGCAAGTAAATCCAAAAATTTTCCTTATTTTTAACCACATATTCTATCTCAATCTACCATCTTAAAATGCATTTTTCTAATTTAATGGGACTCAACGAGTCCTAAATTACAGTTGCTGGTGGAGGTATGAACACCAGTGAGCTCAACAGTACTTCGAATACCAACTACCTCTCATGATATCATCTTAATGGTCTTCACGAACATCAGCGACATGCTAAGTTCCGCATAAACAACACCTATAGGTAAACAACCCAAAAAAAGACTTCTTTAGTATTAAACCTATAAAGATTAATTTTGCTCACAGTAAAGATTCAGAATAATTCAAATACTGTCGTGTAGTTCTAATTCTAAAATAGAGGCCCCAATTCCATGTTATTACAATGCCACCAAAAAAGGCATCAAGCATAAGTCTTGCAATAGGCCAACCATGTCCTAACAGGAGACCGAGAGCAATACCAAGCCATTACAAAGAAACATTCATAATTTTCGACAAATACAAATCTTAAAATAAACAAAAAACACTAAGGACTGGAATTATTAAACCAAAATTGGACTTTCCTGTCTGCAGTGCTTACAAAATTTAAACAATACAGTCTATATTACCTTGGCGGCGTAGAAAGCCTCTCAGATTTCTTGAGAGTGAAAGTTTTCTTGCTTTTCATACGAGACAGCAGTGATTTGGACGATTGTAGAGGATGTTTACGTAGATTTTGACTCGGACAGGATAACCTACCCAGGGCCGGTCCTTTGGTTTTTAGGGCCTGAGGCGAATTCCATAAGTTAGGCCCCTCTCCAAAATCAGTGTAAATGTAAAATTCAACAATATATTATTATGCAACATATTGCTAACTTGAGACGGATCCAGTATTGAATTCAAGACCAGCTAAAAAAATTCAAATCGAACTAATACACGAAAAAAAATTACACATAAAAATTTGTTTTTACAAAAAAAAAGAAGATGGTTTTTGGGCCTGGAGCCCCCTAAATCCATCAGTGCCGCTAACTTAAAGTTTAATAATAAAACAACAAACAAATATATTAGAATTCTACTTCTAATGAATTTTGGAAAATGTAAAATTATTCATTTCTGAGCTTTCAAAGGTTTGATCACTGTGATTTATTCTTTGCATTACCATGAGGGTAAAAACTACTACCACTACGTAAATCCAAACACTGAAATAGAATTCTGTAAATTTTAAATAGAATAGAATAATCACTTTACCAAACCATTAATCCAGGGCCCAACACTAATCAATTTCATAAAAAAGATATAAATTACTAACAAACTAGTCGAAAAAACTATTGGAGTGAAACAAATATGAATAGATAAACATTTCAATTCATTTAAAGAAAGAATAAACCCACATCTTCATTGAATACTTATCTAATTCTAAAATCACTAATAATCTATTTCATAAGAAACCCACAAATTAGTAAAAGCAAAAGGTCCACAAAATTAAGTCCCAAAACCAAAAAAAAGGAAGAAGAACCTAAGGGAAATTTTAAATTTCAGCCCGAACTATACCATCTTGGCAACAGAAGCGAGATGATTCCCCTTCATATCACATATGAAGTGATCATCTACATAAGTCTGCCAAGACATTTTAAATTCTCTTCTTTTTTTGGTTTAATTTATAAAACAAATGCTATTTTTCTTTGATGGGTCTGCTTATTTTGAGCTTCTTTCTTCAATTTGAATCGAATTTATTGGGTTGGGCTGTGAATTTTCTGAAGTTAGCATGGGATGTTGAGCTTTGTTCAGCTATTTTATCAAATTGTTGAGCTCTAATACTTGTTGAGTTTTGGAACACAAAAGAAAAATAGAGTCTTATTAATGAAATAAATTTTACACAATTTTAAATAAAAACGAAAAATACTAACTAAACACACTAGGACATCTCACCAATTATTTTACCAACTCACTTTCTCTCACTATGCACTACCTCTCTCCTATATTTTTCTTTATCTCTTTACCTCTCACCAATCACGCACTACAATGCTCATTCTATCCTCACACACTTGTATCTATATTTCCTTCACCTACTCTTCTCTCTCCACACACACACACGTGCGCTACCTTTCTTTCAACTCTTTTTCACTCTTCTTTATTCCGACTCACACACATATATACAGACATGCATGGCCGGTGGCTGAAGCTTCTTGTATGTTAGTGGAATGTAGTTGCATCAATTCTAAAACCATCCTTCAATGGCGATGGCAAGAAGGGGCAGCAGATTCTGAAAGAGTGAAAAGTGAAGGGAAGAAGAAGAAGAAAAGCAGCTTAAGGAAGAATGAAGAAGAAGAAAGAGTGAAGGGTCTGGTTGCAATAGAGATGCGAGCTGGAGAGGAAAATGATTTCTTCATTTAATTGAAAAAAAATGGCCATGGAAACGAAGCGCCCTTCAGTTTTGGGCTTGAGGCGTAGGCCTCTTCTGCCTCGCCACAGGACCGGCCATGAACCTACCTACTGCACCACTTGTAATTGAAGCAACCATAGCCAAACACCCACCTCTCTCTCACACACAAAAATCGAAGTTGGGAATATAAATTTTCCACACTAGAGAATTGTGAGTTAATTGTTCTAATGGTAACTTAGGTCCATGTTTTTTACCGTGAAGTTTAAAATGTCGGGTTTTGATTACTAAATTTAAATCCATATCTTTGTTTGTTCACTAAAATTTAAAATGTCGAGTTTTGATGAACTTTGAAAAATATTGTACATTACTCATCATGAATTTAATCTAGCCACCGTGGGGCTGCACTACCAGCATTGAGTGACTCCATTAAATTTGAAAAAAGAAAACTGATTAATCATAAAGCTACTACCACTGTTCATGGGTCAAATAACCAACTCACCACTTTTATTGTTGCAGCCATTGCTTTAAGATTTCTATCAGTTTCACCAGCGTTTCAGTGGGTTTAAAAATTTTGGGTGAAGCTAGGAAAAATCTTGCGATCTTGAAAATTTGGCGTGAAGCTAAAATAGAGTGTTCGGGATATAGTGAAAGAACGCACCGACGAAGCTATCAGGAGGTCTTCATTAGCGTGGTCGACAATAACGTGGCCCCGCGGTTGGTCGCCTCGACAGTGGATGGGTTGATTTGAATTTGGTTTAGTCGGTGGCATTGGGGTGTGTTAGGTGGGGTGCGGTCAGGGGAAAGAGGAAGATGAACAGTAGCTGAGTGCTTTCTTTCTTTTTTATTTTTATTGTTTTATACGATTTTTACCATATTTTATTTGCATTTGAGGTTTTTAGTCTTTGTTCATTATAGTACTTTTGGCTTTAACAAATTTTCATGATATTTTTATCCTCAAACTTTACATTATTTAATTTTTTTGTATCTGATAATAATTTTATGTCAAAAAATCTGTCGAAATGATGTAAAATTACTCATTATCTTCTCCTATTTTTAGAATATAAATAAATAAAAAGCACGAAAACTATTTATTTCCTCATTTCAAAATATAAAAACTAAATATTTTGATATAAAATCATTATCGAGGATGAGATGTACTAATTAAATGGAATATTGAAGATAAAAATTTGACAAAAAAAGTTTAAAAAATAATTACTACAATGAGCAAAGATTTAAGGAGTTTAACTATAATTAAAATGTTGTGTATCAAATAAAATTGTTATGGTAATATAACCACCCTTGTTTTATATGTAAAAATAAAAGAATTTACCATTTTATCATTTTCAACTTGGTCAAAATTTTATTTTGTCGATCAACTAATGCTCAAATGAATTTGTCATTACGATGTAAAAAAAATGAAAGTTTAGGACCGTAACTGACACAAAGTGAAGGTTGAGGTAAAGCTTTCAAAAAATAGAAAAGTTTGCGACCGCTGATGCAATTTTCCCTTTCTTTTAAGAATCGTTCGATTTTCGATATTTTTTATATCAATTTCAAAAATAGTAAAATACATGCTTGAAATTTATTATATAGTAAGTTTTTAAAAAATAAAATTACATATATGAACATGTACAAATAAAAATAAATGTATGTGTAAATAATATTGCGTAAATATCACTTTCTATAGGTCGATCATTTTCTATTGAATTATAAGATAAAAAAACGAATGTAGTTATGAAGCTAATTTACATTAGTAGGTACATCTAAACTCTTTTTGATAAATACTTTTTAAGTGATAATATTAATAAGTTTGAACAAAATACAAGTCACCAGATAATTATTTATATATCAATTATTTTGCCACATATTCATTAATGCTTTGTGACGGCACCGGAAATGAGCAATTCCATTAATTAGTTCAATTTGTTGCATCCTGAATTGAATTTTTAAAATGTATTTACAAGAAAAATGATGTTGTACATGAAGTCAACCAAATGATTCTAAAAAGTCATCGAGAAACTAGAGATGATCACGAAAAATAACAAATATAAGAAAAGAGATGGAGAAAATCTCACGAGAGATACAAGGAATGTGTTTTGAAATAAGCATAGCGTTCTGGAAGCATTTGGTAAAAATGATTTGTTTGAAAAAGAACTTTTTATTTTTATTTTTAAAGCTTGGTTCCTTTTTAGGATAAATTTGGATTGCAAGAATGGAATTTGGATGAGAAGAAAAGAATTTCAGAGAATTGAATTACCTAGAACTTGTTTTATTAAGAATTGTCAATTAAATGTATTTGATTAATATAATTTTTTACTGTAAAATATTAAAATTTTGAATCTTTTGGAGTTCGTTTGATTTTATTTTTCACGAAAATTGTCAATTAAAAGAATATAATTTGTTATAGTTATGGATAAAATTTGTTCCAATTGTAAAAAAAAAAAGAAAAGAAAAAAAAGGTGATTTTCCACCAATTCACGGAAAATGCATCACGTGAGGAGGAGAGGGTGGGGGGAAGAAATTGCCTAGAAAATTTTTGTCATCAAACACTATCCAAAGGTGGAAAATTCTATAAAAAATGTGCCATATCAAACCAGGCCTAGTTGTTTTAGAAAGGGTAAAACTGAGAAATTTTTTTTTGAATAAGGTAAAAAATCATTGATTTGGTAGATGAGAAATACAACGTAAATTACATTGACCTTTTTATTGACCCGAAACATGAAATTGTGAAATTGATGGCATCTTTTATTGTTTGGCAAAATACCTCTTGTTTTAGACAACATTTTTTGCTCAAAAAGTATGCCAAGACTGTAAAAAGACTTATTCATGAGGATGTCCTCAATTAAGATTTTGATGGTTTTAAAAAATTATAAATTCTTATGAATTTCGTGGATTTAAATAAATTTTCACAAATTTCATAAGAATCTCATCAAATATGCTAAAATTTCAAAAGATTTGGCTATATGCATTTTTGAGTTTGAAATCCATTCAAATATTTTGAAATCTCTCTATTAATAAAATCTTTGAATATCTACTTGTTATTAAATATACCTAAATTTTAAATAATTTCATTAAAATGTGGATACATAGATTTTAATGAATTTTATTAAAATCCATTAAAATATTAATTGAGTACACCTGAATTTCAAAGAATTTTTAAAATTTATCACAATCTCTTCACTTATATTGTATTTTCAATTAAGTAAAATAATAAATATAAAAAAATTTGATAAAATATAGTAATTAATTGAATGTTAAATATAAGAATGCAGCAAAAAAATATTAAAGGTATAAGTGTAAAAATGAGCGAA